TCAAGTAGTTATTGAGAAATCATCGCTAGAAGTTTTAAAAAACTTTCGAATTTATAAGTAAATCCCGATGATGGGTCAGCGGCGATCTGCAGGTCGTTTGCTGAATTTTGGTGGACCCACTAATCTACTCACTCTCAAGCACCTTATTCAATGGATCGGAGCATTTTGATGAACAAATTAGCGAGATACAAACCATCTTTTTTCTTCAAAAATTTACTATTAATAAGGCATTACTTTTTAATTTTTTACATATCAAACATAATAAACAATAGATTTTCAACAAATTTCTAATCAATATTTCTAACCGATATGAAAAAATAGCCACTTCATTTTTAATTCTCAAAGCTTTTAAAACAAATAGTCGATACCTTGATATAAAAGTAATAAATATGAGAAACTTCCCTAATTACTATTATAACAAAAGATTTAAATTGGTAAAATCATTAAAAGGAACTGAAGTTAAAGTTTCAGCAACCAGTTAAGTAGAAATTGTTTTAAAGTACTGTATAAAAGGGCAGTATCTTAAAGCTACAGTTACTTGTCATGATTTGATTTCCTTATCTCCATATTAACACTTACAAACCTGTATATTTTTAAAGCACTTTTACAACATCGAATTTGAAAACCAAAATCAAAAATCTTTTTTATCCAATCCTTTAGATGCAATTTGCGGTGCAAGCGTAGTTTATTTGGCGATAGATGGTAATAATGTGGGAAGTTATGAAGAAGTTAGAAGTTTGGCTAATTCTGCAGTAGATTCAGTATTGGAAAAAATAGATGATAATAATCGAAAAGAACAAGTCTTAAAAGTTATGCCAGAGGTTAGTACTATATTAAAGATTTTAATATAAATTATTATATGATGATGATACAACAGATGAGTATGGAAGTCACTGCTGAAGGTTAGGATAGTAACAACCTGGAAGAGCGATATCTTTGGGGACGGCTCGAGATATCGAAGGCACTATCCTCCCTGGCTGTGCGTAGCTTTTTTCTAAATGCTCGTAGTCTAATTAATCACTGAAAAATGGTACCATATTATATGCACATATATATTTTGCGCAAGTCTAACGTATTTCATCTGTTGTAGATGAGAATCATTTACAAAAGCATTGTAGGTTTGAGACTAATAAAGGCATTGAATATGGTAATGTATTATACAATTTTGGTAAAAACCAATTCTTGATATGTTTCTAATATAAGTTAACTTGTTTTATAGAATAAAGAGATCACTTCAGATCAATCACAGGAAGAGCTTTCTAAAGTGGATATTGACAACGTATAACACCACATCAAACGTTGTTAATGAATACTTTAATTTTATTC